CCCATAAAAGTTTTTCTTTTCCTTTTCTTCTTCTTTTTTTAAAAATAATACTTTACTGTGATTTTTAAAAAATACTTTTATTGGGGGCTCTTACATCTCTTACCACAATCCATACTTTCCTCCAGTGTGTCAAGCACATTTGCACGTATGCTGCCATCATCATTTTCAAAGCATTCTCTTCCCACTTGAGTCCCTGATATCTACTCCCCATTTCCTCCCTCCCTTACGAACCCTTGATAAGTTATAGATTTTTCCATATCTTACATCATCCTCAGTCGCCCCTCACCCACTTTTCCATTATTCGTACCCCTGGGAGGGGGTTCTTGATTGATCCTTGTGCTCTGTTCCCCCTTTCTTCCCCGCGGTCCATCCCCTAATCCTCCTGGTAGCTCTACTCTCTTTGTTAAGGAGTTTTCCTTTACTTTTTTTCCCCCTGGAAACTGTCTATTTGTATTTTCTCATCTTCAGAAGGGAATGAATGGTTTTTAATTAACATATATTTGTGTGTGTGTTTGCATCTAATTAAAGCTCTAATCTGCAAGTTAGGCAGAACCTGAATGGTTTCACTTTAAGGGGAACTCCCCTCCTATTTGTCTGCATGGAACTGAGAGGGTTAAAAATCAGCTCAAATAACTACCCTGTAAAGTGCTTGTCTCCTCCTTCCCGTGGAATACAGTCTCATTCATCTTTGGTTAATCCTCCTTTTATCTTTTGGGTCACACTTTTTGGCTGCTCATTGCCTTTAACTTTCTGTAAAGAGCTTTCTGCCGCTGCAAAACTCGCTCTCTGCACTCGGCAGCTCAGGGTGTTGTATGTAACACCCCGGGGCCCCCCTGTGCTCCAGAATCTCTCTGTAAAATGAAAAATTCTCTGCGGTGGCTCCAAGCCCTGCCTGTCAGCTGCGGCTTCGTGGACAGAGACCCCGCTGCCTTGCCTGAATCTGTTTGCTGTTTGCTGCGGCCTCTGTCCCTAATCCCACAGGCAGCAGCCACCCCGCTTCTCTCATCCCTGGAGAGCAAAGAGCAGCTACAGATGCTGACTGCCTGCGCTCACCTGTAAAGAGCAGAAAGCGTCAGCGGACGCTGGCGCCCTGCTCTGCAGAACTCCGGTAAAAGTCCCTGGTTTGTTTGTTTCTAAACATATCGCCCCCCATGAAATGACTGCCTGCAAATAATGGTTGTGCTTTTCACGTCGAAGGATCACAGTCGTATTCACGACGAGGCCCAAAAAGCTGTGTTGAGCTTCAGCAGGGGTGGGACATGAAAGGACATGGAAACTAATTTAATTTTTTTTAAAGAATTAATAGAAATTGCGCAAAACGTTTATAATGCCTGGAGAAACAAACAAAAGACTGTAGCCTGAACTATAGCAGTGGCCTTAAAAGAAGCAGTCGGACCCCTCAGAAGCCTATAAAACCCAAGACAGTGAGAGTTCAGATTCAGAACAGGGGACCCTTAGGAAGGAAGCAGTGCACATTTAGAAAGAAGAAAAGCACTAAAATAATAATGATAATTAAATATCAAAACCTTTGCTCAGTCAAGGGAACAGTTGTGTTTGCATTTCAACAGATGAAGGTATACATTCCTCTTTGATGTGTCCCCCTTAAGCAGCTGTCTCCAGAGGTCCGACCAGGACAGTCTCAGTCAGAGACCAGACGCTGTCTGCTGAGACTCCTGGATGCACGTGTCTGGCCGAGCCGGTGGTGCTCCTTATTTCATCTCAAGTAAGTGCTGATCCCTCTTATTGGGCTGACGGTCCTCCTACACATTTGCCAGGACCTGTGGTTTCCACCAACGA